CCAGTAACAAATTAATTAGGGCCTTTCTTTTATTTTAGAGACAAATTAAGTAGAAAACTATAGATTGCTCTAGGTTTGCACTTTAAAATAATAAAACGGGATGAGCCTCGCTAAACAAAACACATAAATTGCAGGGCCCTCGATAATTGTATATATTAAAATACTTAGATTTCGGGACGGGCCATTTAACGAATTTCACGGCCTTCCCCAAAATAATAACGCGTTAGTCTCTTTAGGCGCGTATTTTAATAACATTACCTCCCTAAACTCGGGTGCGCATTTATGTGACCCAAATCCACATCCCAACGATGTTAAAGTATGTCCAAAAACCACGGGGACATTTATGTGACGTGGTTCAAGACTTGTTTTAATGACGTTGCAATTTTCTTTAAAAATGAATAAAAGCGTTAAGGTTAAAATTTGCACATAGGTTCATAATTGTTAAAATTGGATAATTTAAGCCAAATATAACAGTTGAGCGACCGTGCTAGAACCACGGAACTCGGGAATGCCTAACACCTTCTCCCGGGTTAACAGAATTCCTTACTCAGATTTCTGGTTCGCGGACGGTAATACATAGTCAATCTTTTCCTCGATTCGGGATTCAACCGGTGATTTGGGACACCATAAATCTCCCAAGTGGCGACTCTAAATCTTTAATAATAAATCCCGTTTCGATTGTCCTTTAATTGGAAAAACTCCCTTATGCCCTTGCGGGTGTAGGTAAAAAGGAGGTGTGACAGTCGTGCAAGTCAACTCTACAATAGTTATTGCTTTTTGTTGTTTGACTAGAGTTAGTAAAGTGTGTAACTTTGTAATAGAGGTATTACAAAGGGCTTATAATAATAGAGTTATTGTAAGAGGTGAGGGATTAAGAATTTAATTTCTAGATTGCAATAGGTTGTAATTATCTGATGTTTGCTCAGTTAGTGAAGTTAAAACTCTACTAGGATAAGGCGTGGTTTTTAATCTCGTGAAAGGAGAGTTTTGCTCGTAAATATTATGTGTTCTTTACTTACTGCTGCATATTGTGGAAACTGATAGAGAACCTGATTCTCTATACTGTTTGGTGGACTCCTAGTTTCTATCATTTGCAGATGTATAAAATAAAATGACAAAGATCTACTGAATATCATAACAAATTGATTGAATTTTTGTGAAGCAATTGCAACCGTAATTGATGATGTTACTCATATTGAAATGTAATATGTGTATCATCGTTGAAATATTAAAAATTAATAAAATTGTCAAGTTGAATCTTTGGTACATATTAGAGTTGTAAGTTGTTCGAATAATACTTTGTTGCATTGAATTTTATCATCCAAACAATTTTAATAGTATAAATAAAACAATATAGTATGGTAAAAAGATATATAAAGAATTATTACCGAGGAAATATTTGTATTTGTTAGAATGAAATACGTATCCAGCGACTAGTAAATACAAAAAAAAAAAAAAACTCCAAGGGAAGAAAATTAGTAACTGATATGGGCATGCAAGTAGTTCCGAAAAAACAAGTCCTCCATTCGTCACAAACTCTCTCAGCACCTCATACCACGTGTTCAATACCCTCTCTCATTTGCATGCACTATCAGCTTTAGTGTTTATCTAATTCCTACACTACTAAAAATCTTGACCTATCCATAACCCACCCCCAAACTGCACTAAAAATCAACCCTCTTTTCCTCCTCTCATATTTCTTCAGTTTTTGTGAATTGAAGGAATTAATTGGAAAAGAGGTGATTATAAAAGGAATTAATGGAATTGGTGAATTCAGTGCTGAATTTTGTGGTACCACCAGCAAGTTTGGTGATGTTGGCATGTGCATGGCCAGCTTTGACTTTCATCAACACATGTGAATGGCTTTACAACACTTTCTTTGGTGATGATATGGAGGATAAAGTTGTTATTATCACTGGTGCTTCTTCTGGTATTGGCGAGGTAACTCAAAACTTCAACCCCGGCCCCTTCTGATCAGAATTCTGATACTCTATATATGTGATCTTTCAAGCAGGAACATGTTAATATTCCATTTGGGATCAGATCGAGATCGAGATAGCACTTTCTTTTTCGTTTTTCTTTAACTAGTCAGACTCATCTATGCTTTCTTCAACAACTTAAACAACTGCATGCTATCTAACACTACTAGAAAGTAGAAACTGTAGAGCCAATGTCATTTTAGAGTTCACTTCTCTGACATAAACAAACCTTATTTGTAGGTTATATATGTCTAATGCACATTGCAATAATTACAAAGACAAAATTTTGGTTAAAAAACCTTAGCTAATCACATTTACAGTTATGGACAAAAACCTCTTGAACCACCTTATCCCAATGACTTTTACCTTGTCGCCTAGTCTATAGAATAACTTCAAATTGGCTTATGTAAAAGATCGCTCGGCTAGGGCGCGCCAGAGAAGGTGAAAGCCACTTGACTGGAAATAGGATTTCTTTGACGATATTGCAGTTTGCATATAGGTTGTGTTTGAATGCTTTTGCTAAAGCCCTTGTCCTTTTTATGCGAGAAGAAAGAGTATTTCTTTAAAATCTGACATTTAGGATAAACTGGTCCTTCACCTAAAAGATACCTAGGTTGATACAATTATTTTTATGTAAGTAGTTCATTACTCGGGTTGTTATAGCTGCAAGCAGAGCTATTTTACACTTTTCTTCTCGGTAATCTTTTGTGAATTGCTTTTTTGGTGCATGAACGATATTTAAAAAGTACTAGATTCTTGATCTTGTGCTCTGTGATGTTAGCAAATTGCATATGAATACGCAAAGAGGAGAACAAATCTTGTCTTGGTTGCAAGGAGAGAAAATAGACTCTGGGGAATCCGAGAGAAAGCTAGGCAACTAGGTGCAAAAAATGTCCTGATAACGGCTGCAGATGTTGTCAAAGAAGATGATTGTAGGAGATTCATCACTGAGACTGTAAACTTTTATGGGCGCGGTAAGTCCAAGTAATATATTTGTCTTGTTTTGTTAATAATGTTATTAGATGAGGTTCCCTAGCGCAAGCTGATCTCTGATGTATTACAAGATTTGAATGGAGTAGGGGTCTCAAGGTACATATGCCGACGCTTAAGTGATATGAACAAAGAAATTTTTGACAATGGAACCCCCTTTCCCTGTAACTATCCTTGATCCAGACAGAGTTTCTTTATGTCTCTATTCCATTGTGCATTATCACTAGGTAATTATGTTGGCTTGGTCAACTTAAAAGAAATGCTATTTAGGGGTTATTTCATTTCATTCCTTCAAGCAGAAATAATCAGAAGCAGATATTATCTACAGATGGACTCTGATTTTGTTGACTACTAACATTTTTTTTAATAGTGGTTTCAAATGTTCAAGTTTTCAGTTTCTATAATAGTGAATACTTTTGTATCTGCTTTGAGTTAGAAATTTTTTCAATTGTCCTTGGGGAGAACAGAAACAGTGTTATATTGTATATGACATGTTTTAATCATATAGAATAGCGCGTTCTCATGAAAAGGTTAGCTGATATTTAGTTGTTGTTCCATTATTTGCAGTGGATCATCTTGTGAACACAGTAAGCTTGGGACATACTTTCTACTTGGAAGAAGCCACGGATACAAATGTGTTCCCCATTTTGATGGTATTTGGCGTATCTAATTTTTTTATCATTCACAGTTACTAATGTTAGAAATTCTCTTTCATTTGTATGAAACCGCATTCAAATGTTGCTATTAACTCCGAATTCAACTATAATTTTGAAGTGTGAAGTTTTTCCTTCTTTTTAGGATATCAATTTCTGGGGAAATGTGTATCCTACCTACGTAGCTCTTCCTTACCTGCGGCAAACCAGAGGCCGAGTCATTGTGAATGCGTCAGTGGAGAACTGGTTACCCTTGCCAAGAATGAGCTTATATTCAGTAAGAATTCAACTTCATATACAGAGCTTTAAAGCTGCATTTTCAACATTCTTGAGACTCCTCCGTAGCCCCTTTGGCCACAGAGTCGGTGTTCATAATTCACCTTAGCAAAGAAAGCATTTTGTGTAAAGAATAGCAGAAGAAGAATATTATTTGGAGATCTTCTGCTAGCCCAAGATCGTTAACTAAGATTGGAGGATTCAACTAAAGAAGAGGAAGCTTGAAAAGAGAAGATAGATTTTAGATAGGAGAACTTGTTTTGGAAAGAAGGCTTTCTTGATTTTTGGCTTGCTTACAAATGAACAAGATACCCCCTATTTATACTAGCCTATGGATGATTTTAGATAATGTGCAAAGAAAATTCTAGCAACCTTATCTTCTAACAACACTCTAGAATATCTAGATATGTCTTATCTTCCCACAACATTCTAGAACATTTAGATATGTCCACTAGATAAATATCAAGGATACTAAACTAGGACATTCTAGAGAATTCTATATTAATCCAAAAAATTAAGTATTTTTTTCACACTCCCCCTTAAAGTGATTTTTTGGAAACTACTCCAAGCTTGTCACGGAAGAACTCGAACGAAGCTTTAGCAAGTGACTTGGTGAAGATATCAGCGATATTCTCCTGACTTCTCTTTTCCAAAGTATTGTTAGTTCCATCAAGAACCTTTTCCCGAACAAAGTGATGTTCCACCTCAATGTGTTTAGTTCTTGCATGGAATAACGGATTGTTTGCAAGCTTGATGGCACTTTGATTATCCATAGATCACAGTTGACTTTGATATAGGTAGATGCAAGTCTTCAGCAAGTCTTTGTAGCCATACACATTCTTGAGTAGTGAGAACAGCTGCTTTATACTCTGCCTCCGTGNAATCTGATTGTGATGCATCATAGCCACAGAAATGTAGATACTGAGCAATTTTTCTATACCATGCTCGTGGAGCTTGCTTGAGGCCACAAAGGGCCTTCTTAAGTTTGCAGACATGATTAGGATGTAAGTTAGAGACATACCCGGGTGGTTGCTCCATATAAATATCTTTGTCAAGCTCTCCATATAAGAAAGCATTCTTCACGTCAAGTTGCCATAACTTCCAATTATGAGAGGCTGCCAAGGCTAGCACAACTTGGACAGAGATCATCTTAGCCACCGGACTGAAGGTTTCTTCATAATCTTCACCATACTTTTGAGAAAATCCCCGAGCAACTAGCCCTGCTTTATATCTATCTATGCTGCCATCGGCTCTTCTTTTGATTTTGTAAACCCATTTACAAGAAATGGGTTGTACATCCTTCGGCTTTGGTACAAGGCTCCAAGTTTGATTTTTCATCAGAGCCTCCATTTCATCCATAGCAAGATCCCATTCTTTGACTCCTTTAGCTTCTTCGAATGAGGAAGGTTCTTCATCATCAATTGGTCCTGCAAAGAAACAGGAATATGTACTGACAAAATTTTCATCTCTAAAGCGAGCTGGCTTGATAATAGTTTTTTTTGGCCTTCCCGAACCACTTAAATCATTTTCTTGTTGAGTTTCATGTTGTTGAGGTCTAGGACTCCCCCTTTCACTTAACTCCTTGGCAGTTGTATTATCTAGAGAAGCACCTGCAATGGGCAAGCTTGAATCTCCATTATTTAAGGTTTTTGAACTCGCTCCATCCAATGCAGCTCCATAATACAAAGACACCTCGTCGAATATGACATCCCTTGAGACAACAAAGAGATGAGTTTTAGGATCCATGAACTTCCATCCCTTTTTCCTTTCATCATATCCGACAAAGATGCACTTACTTGCCTTGGCATCTAACTTGCTCCTTTGAGAATCCGGAATGTGAACATAACAAATAGAGCCAAAAACCCTGAGGTGTTTCATGCTAGGCTTTTCTCCAAACATTAATTCATAGGGATACTTCATATTATTTGGAGAAAGCGGCATCCTGTTGATCACGTACGCTGCACATTTCATACCTTCAGCCCACAAGGCTCTAGGTAAATTCTTGACATGAAGCCAACTCTTACATGTCTCAGTTAAGTGTCGGATCTTCCTTTCAACCACTCCATTTTGTTGTGGCGTATCAGTGCATGTCAGCTCTCTTTTAATGCCATGCTGGCGACAAAAGGAAAGAAACTCATCTTATGTAAACTCACCGCCATTATCAGTTCGCAGCCGCCTTATTCTGGAATTGAGTTCACCTTCAACTGTTTCTTTGAACTCCACAAACTTACTGAAAACTTCTGACTTGTGCTTCACAAAATAAACCCAAGATAATCTAGTAAAATCATCAATGAAAATTAGCATATAAGAGTAGCCTGAAACTGAAGGAGTTCTCGTTGGCCCATCAAGTCACTGTGAATAAGTTCTAGTGGGGAATTGCACCTTGACAAGGATCTTCAAATGGAAGACGATGTGCCTTTCCATATTGACATCCTTCACAAACCTCTCCTCCATCAAAATTTCTTAAGTTAGGCAAACCTTTTACTAGATTCAACTTTGCCATGGCTTTTAATTTATCCATGCTTAGATGTCCAAGTCTAGCATGCCAAATATATGTATTGTCATTGCTACTCATCTTCTCAATATATGAATTAGAGGCAGATACTACATATAAATCGTTAATTCTCTTACCTGAGTGAACGATATCTGGCTTGAGTACCTTGATATTTCGGAGGAACTTCACATCACGTGGGCCAAATAGCAAATAGTTTCCAGCATCTACAGCATTTGCAACTGAAAATAGATTTTTCTTCATACCTGGAACGTGAAAGACACTGTTGAGGGTGATAGTGTCTTTTTGCTTCTCGTTGATCACAACAGTGCCTTCCTTCTCCACATTATGGACTGTATTATCTACTATAATAATGACATCATGTCTGTTGTATTCGCGAAAGGTGGAGAATTTGGATTGATCTCCAGTGAGATGGTGCCCACATCCTGAATCCACGATCCAGTCTCTTTCAAAGTTTATGGAAGCCATGGCATTTATTGCTCGAGTATCCGCTGTGAAGCACTTTCCCCAGTCTTCTTCTTTTTCTTCTTCTTCAGCAACTTTCTTGATTTGAGCTATATTGCCCTTTTTGGCTCGACAGTATCTTTTTATGTGCCCGATTTTGCCACAACGGTAACATTTTAAAGGTTTTTTACCGTTACTGGAAGACTCCCCCTTCTTTCCTGGCGAGCTCGAACCACTTGAGGATTGAAAGTGCATGCTATCTCTTGATTTCCCCTTAAATTTCCTCTTATCGGCGACAAGAGCATTTCCTTCCCCTTCTTTGATAGATACACCAGCCATCTGTTTGGCTAATAGCTCTTGTGACGATAGCAAATTCTCAAATTCTTCCAAAGATGGTTGTTGAACCCATCCTTGAATCGATGTAACAAAAGGAATATATTCTGGCTTTAAGCCACGAATAATAATTCTTCTTATTCGTGCTTCAGAGATAGCCTCGTCCGGATTCAATAGAGATATTTCAGAACACAGATTTTTAACCTTCAAAAAATACTCGGCGATCGAGAGATTACCTTGAGTGGTGTTAGCTAACTCATTCTCCAAAATCTGTAGTTGAGTTTCATCCTTCTTGTTGAACAGCCGATCGAAGGTCCTCCATATTTCATGAGCTGATTTACACCTTATAATATGATCAAATAAATTAGGAGAAATGGACCTCTTTAGGATAAACTCCGCCTTAGCATTAATCTGCTTCCACTTCTTCCGTGCATTGCTATTTTCCGATGCGTCAACAGGAGGACTTGTGTTACTCCCATTAACAACTTCCCACAAATCCTCACCAACAAGGTATGACTTCATACAAGTCTTCCATACCTTTAAGTTGGACTGGTTCAATAACTCAATCCCCAGTCCATTAGCACGACCACCCAAATCCATTTAGAGAAACCAGTTGAATCAACCACTAACCCGACCTTGAAATCCAGAAGCCGACTTATGGCTCTGATACCATGTAAAGAATAGCAGAAGGAGAATATTATTTGGAGACATTCTGCTAGCCCAAGATCGTTAACTAAGATTGGAGGATTCAACTAAAGAAGAGGAAGCTTGAAAAGAGAACATAGATTTTAGATAGGAGAACTTGTTTTGGAAAGAAGACTTTCTTGATTTTTGGCTTGCTTACAAATGAACAAGATACCCCCTATTTATACTAGCCTATGGATGATTCTAGATATGATTCTAGATAATGTACAAAGAAAATTCTAGCAACCTTATCTTCTAACAACACTCTAGAATATCTAGATATGTCATATCTTCCCACAACATTCTAGAACATCTAGATATGTCCACTAGATAAATATCAAGGATACTAAACTAGGACATTCTAGAGAATTCTATATTATTCCAAAAAATTAACTTTATTTTTTTCCACATTTTGATGGTATGCTTCTTTTAAGTTTCTTACTTTATTTCCTTTTTGTTTTGAATAGGCAGCTAAAGCCGCAGTTATAAACTTTTATGAGACCCTAAAGTTAGAGGTGAAGGATGATGTCGGGATCACAATAGCGACACACGGATGGATTGGGACTGAAATAACAAGGGGAAAACTCATGATGGATGAAGGTGCGGATATGCAGTGGAAGGAAGAAAGGGAAGTAAGATTTTCTTCTCTTGTAGAAATGAAATTTTCTGTCTGCTCCAACACACTGCTACTATTTGCAAACTTCCATGCTTTCCTTTTCAAAGCAGAAAAAAAGGACATGTCTGAACTTTTTTATGCATAAAACACCCATGCTTTAAGCAGCAGAATTCACGGTCTCTACCTGTTTCAATGTGTTAAGTTCACATGCTTTTCTTTTCCAAGCTGGAAAGAATACAGATCATAGACAAGGGGCGCGTGGCAGAAGCCAAGCTACGGGTTTGGCCGAACCCAGTAGCTTTTTTTTTGAACGTGTATTTTGTATTAAGAAGTTCATTAAATACATACAAATATTAAATGTAGAACCCAGTCATTAACAAGTTGTAGTCGCCATTCTAAAATCAAGAACCCATAAGGTTGAAATGTTAGCTCCGCTTCTGGTCATAAATGTTTTCAGGCATAAACAGCACTTGCATTTCAAAACAGCTGTTACCCTGCACCTCACCCAGGGTGACTTAGGATATTATGGAGTCACCCTTCCACTAGTGGTGGGGGTCGGTGACTTAGGATATTATGGATTATGGAGAAATTATAAACTTAAACGCCTCACTAGTTTTAATTTCTATAACTGGTAGTTGATACAAGGTTGTTGGAATGATCTACATTTGGACTGTCCATTTTATATTTGGGAGTTAGTTCTTTGCAGATTAAGAGTGTATGCTACAAGAAAACTGCTAATTACATAGGGATTTTTTCCGGTTCCTAAATTCTGGAATATATTACATTCGAAAATGGACACTCCTATGTATATTAACAGTATATAGTTTCCTTGTCATTTATGATGATTTCAATTTTAGTTTATTTTAATATATCAGTACCCTTTTTGGTAATTCTGGTAAGATGATATTTCCATCACATTACAATGTTTGTATATGACTTTGGATTTAAGGTTCGTGCATCCGGAAGTTCAGTGGAGGAATTTGCAAAGTTGATTGTAGCGGGGGCATGTCGTGGAGATCCATATGTGAAATACCCAGGCTGGTACGATATTTTCCTTCTCTATAGGGTCTTCGCACCAAACGTCCTCCAATGGACATTTCGGATGCTATTTGCACATCAAGGTGCTAGGAGAACTTCATTTATTGGAACGGCAAGGCCTCTTCGAGAGACATCCCCATCCTCGTCTCCATCACCAGCCTCATCCTCTCCTCAGAGACTCGGAGGCCCTATCGTGATGCAAGATCTGCAGAGATTGGAATGAAGATACGTGTCATGTCATTACTTTGATTTTCTGTGGGTTATGTTCAAAAATGTTTATTTGTAAAGATTTTGTGCAGACCATTGTAAGATGATCGTTTCTACTCTCGAGCTGAATAAAAGAATAAACTTGGTTCCCATTAAGTTCTTTAACTCATCTTTAGAGTTAGATGAAGCAGAGCACAGTGATACCTTTATTTAAATGAAGTGAATCTAGAGATCAGAGGACCTGCAGTTATAACTGATTTAGTTTTAATACTGTACGTTTCTTGTAAGTTTACAAGACTGCTGTTCCTATGATCCTATCCAACGGGGGCGAACATAGTAAATTTATATATGAAATTCATTAAAATTGCAAAAATAGTAGATATGAACTCATAACTTTAAACTATAATTGGTTCAATGCTAAAAACTTTGAAAGTTGAACCCATAAAATTTAAATCTTGGATTCGCTTATGCTATCCAATTGAGTATTGGCATTGTTATAAGGTATGTTTAAACTAAGTACCTTGATCTTCATTATTCAAGATCATCAAAATTCTTGAAAACCAACCAAACTTGTGTAGATATGTACAAGAAAAAAAGGTGCCCCTCGGGTGACAGAGGATATACCCTTTTTAAATTTTTGATTCTTTTACTTTAGGTATACGGTATTCAAAATTTTACTGGCTCGATCAATTTGAATTCGTGTCAAACAAGCCCATTAAAATGGATCCGAAACTCTTTTGATGATTTTTTTGGACAAAAAACACTTTTCTACTACTTAAAAAAAAGTTACATAAATGAGTAAAACATAGTACTATACTGCGAATTATTTTTACGGAAATTTAGCCGTTAAAGTAAAAAGCAGTACTATACTGCGTTTTACTTTAAAAAAAAATTTTGTAATTCGCAGTACTATACTGCGTTTTACTAAGAAAATTTGTAAAACGCAGTATAATACTGCGTTTTACACTAAAACGTATTATTATACTGCGTTTTACTCTGGTTTTTGGCCCCACCAATAATGAACTGACATAACAATAATTCAATACATAAAACGTAGTATTGTACTGCGTTTTACAGAGAAAAATTCTACACCCCAACGTCGGACTTGCCTTATTTAAAGGCGTTTCAATTTTATGAAAATTCATTCAATACTTTACTTCAAACTTACGCTCATACTTCTCTCTTCTTCTTATCAATCATTTTTTACAATGTCTGAAGTGACAAAAATAAGGGTTTCACTATATTGGGGGGGTGAGGTTGTGTTGGAGAATAACTCTGTGAGGTATAGCTCACCTCCACAATGTCATATTAAATTGCCGCTTACTATGGAGTACGATAAATTGGTATCGTTGTTACGTAAAAAAATGAATGAGAGGTGGCGTTCGGTTAACCTTAAAATAACCGGTAGATTTCCGTATTCAGTGACTCCACAGGTGTTTGCTTATTATTCTGAGTTTAACATCGAGGATGATGAAACTCTTAGAGATTTTTTGCGGATTCCGGATGAATACAGGGAATTTATTGTAATAAAATTATTGGAAATGTACGTCAAGGTGGAAGACGTTCCCAATAATGAGGGCGTGCATAGTAGGGATAACCCCCAGTCATCGGGTGGTTATTCTGGAGCAGTTTTCGCCGGACAGATTGCTGATGAAAGAGCTTGCCTTGATTTAAACTTATCACCACCGGTGAATGAGCAGCCACAAAATAATTTTTTGACTTTATATAATCAACAAGACGACTGGTAAACTTC